ACTTGTTTTCGCACTTTTTATTTCAGTGAGACTACAAGTGTTTAGATGCGAATCCAACTCGAATTGTGCCTTGCAGAGAAGTTTGTGATGTTAATGCTTTTAAGATTGCCACTTCGTTAATTATGACAGGGATCGAGCTGCTCGGACAGGGATCGAGCTGCTCAGTCAGCTCGCGGGGGTCCAGGGGCCAGCGCCCCTTGGCGGGTCCGGGGCAACGCCACGGCGGGGTAGAGGGGCAGCGCCCCTGAAGCAAAATGGAAAATTGCCTTCAAAGTTGCTTGTTCGCTCGAGCGGACATTCCCCCGCTCGAGCGGAGAATTCTTGGTTCCAAAAGTTTGATCGCCTGTAAAAATACTGTTCCCGCTCGAGCAGAATTTTCCGCAATCGAGCGTCGGTCCGCTCGAGCGGCAATTCCGGCGCTGGAGCGGAGATCGCGGGACAAATTTCTATAAATACGTGTTTCAATTCAAATCTAGGGTTACGCCTCCAGATCTTCTTCTTGGGTTCTAGGGTTTATATCTGGGGATATTTTGCTAGTTTTCTTTGATGTTTCATTGAGTATTCAACTCATGGTATAAGGAGGATACATCAAAGGATTGTTTGTTCATTCTATACAAAAGAGAGAGTTATTGTTCGGTGGATTCTGAAGAATTCGAGCCTGAAGCTTTGGTGGATTCTGGAGTGGCTCATCGTCAAGACAATTCCGAGGTAAAGACGGGGCTGGAAGAGGCACATAGGGGTTGGTTCAATTCAGGCGTGGATTCGCTAGGTAATTGAGAGTATACCTATGTAATTCCTTTATATTTTCTTAATGGATTGTTTTGTGGCTGTTGCCCGTGGTTTTTTTTTATCACAATTGAAGGTGCTCCAATTGTGGTTTTTTCACGTTAAAATCGTTGTATCGATTTGTCTTGATTGTTTGATTGGGATTGTTTTATTGCTTAAAATTGATACATAATCACAAATCAATATCTAGCGGATTTCTAGATTTTTCAGTGTGTATGCGTTTGTATGTTATGTAGGTTGATCCACGAAGCGATGTCAACAACCAAATCATTGTGAGTAATATCTTAGTAAAGATGTTTTCTTATATTCTATTTTCTGATTGTACCAACATGGTAAGCTTTTTTGCATTTGTGATTTTGAAAATATGAATGAGCCTTCTATCTGTCTGATCAATATAATATTTGTAAATGTAATTGACTATGTATAAATGTATTTGACAGACCCTTCTGAGATGTCTGGTATGTGTTGACCAGATGGTCATTATACATCTGTAATGGATTGGACCCTAGGTCGTTCCGTCATGTTATGATCTGTTTTGTTCTGTTTTTTATGATCTGTTTTGTTTTGTTTTTTTTTTTTTTTTTGCTATATGTTGGACCAAAAATCATTATGTCATGTATTGGACCAGAAGTCGTTCCGTTATGCAATGATTTTACTATAAGAATGATTTTATTTATGTAATAGAACTCATTTATATAATTTATTTACTTTGATGTCATTCATTAGATTTTAGCTTACTCCGTTATACATATGTATGTAGGTGAGTAGTGGGATATCCAACCTTAGAGAAGTCTTGTGTATATCCAAGTTTTGTGGAGTCGGCTAAGGAGCGCCTCATGGAAGAGGCTTTTGTCTTTTGAGTTTTTGTTTTCTTTTGTTGGTCATGTTAGATTGAGTTGTACATAAGCTTTTGAGTTTTGAATGTTAATGACTTGTGAATGATCTATGGATATGTAAAATCTATTTGACTAAATGTGAGTGTAAGTTATTAATATATAAAATGTTTTTGTTCATGCCATATATGCACAAGTTCATTGGACAAATTCTACTATTCTGCTTTTGCTTCTGGCCATATGTAACTAAATATGATTTGAATTTTGTCTAAGATCATAAGTGATCTCATGATTACTGGTCGGTTATGATCCAAACATCTAGAGGCGAATTCGTGTCATGATAAGTTTATCCAAGAACTAGATACACAAATACACACTAGTAATTCTATACTTACACCATTACTCAACTAAAAACAAAGTGCACAACTACAAGCTAGTAATTCAAGCGGAACTCATTACACAGCATCTTTATGTAAGGTTAAACAATTGGCTAACCCACCTTGTATTGTAAAAAAAAAGAATATATATCTATATATATATATTTCTCATTTCCCTTGAAAATTCTTTCTTCATTTACCAAAGTAATCTTCTCAAATTTTCTCAAAAAGTGGATATACTCGCACCGCATTTATTAAAAGTTTCAAATTTTCATGTGAGGTCCAAAAATCTTTACCAACATTTTCCGCGAATGATCACAAATATTTATTTTAATTAGTCTATTTAGTAAAATATTCCTATTCCACTTTCTAAATTTAAATTTATTTTGTAACTTCTGACAGAGATTTTTTTTAATAAAATAAATATTTTTGAAATTTTTTTGTTGAATTCTATCAAATAATATTCATATTGAGTATGAAATTCTTTTTTAAAAAAATGAAATTTTACATTATAACAAAATAAATCCTAATTTTTTAATTTTGTCAATTTAAATACCATTTGAAAATATTATGATTCAAATTGATAAAATTAAAAAATCGAAGTGTAATTTGTTACAAGGTCAAACTTATCATTTTTTTTAAAAATAATTCTTCCAAAATTATATTGTTGTAAGTTTAACATTTAAATTATAAAATTCTACTACATCCACAATCTCAAACCATCACACATGCTATTTCATCTCTAGTGAAAATATTAAAGAAATAATTTATCAAAACAATGAAAATGATGATATTAGCAAAGTAAAATTTTATTACGTTAATCTTAGATTGAATAGTAAAATTCCACAACGACTATCACAATTCACCACACTCATTGCCATTATTACTATCACCAATAATTATATTTAAAAATAAATTTATCATTATCAAAACAGTAAAATAATAAGATTGTGTAAAATTTTAGAGTGTTAACCTTACCTAAACAGTAGCAAAACAACTTCCGTCTAGCATCATTGATGGAAATTTTTATACTCATTATTATACAAAATAATTTTTATCAAAATTACCTATTATCAGTTGATATATTAATTTTTTTTTATCAAAATAATAAAATAACAATATTAAAAAAATAAAATTTTAGTGTGTTAGTTTTTTTGATAATTCGATTTTCGGCCTAATGGACTGACTAATCCAAAAGATCAATTCCACCGTTCACTGGTTGGGACTCCAATTAAAATTGAGGCATATGAACTGACCACAAAAAAATATTTATACTTAGCAAATTTTGAATCTGAGACCATGAAATGAATACACCCCAGAACCCATGCTTTGACCACCATGCCAATCTATTGGAGTTAATTTTAGTGTGTTAATGGCATTAAAATTTCACCACCAGCATTACAAAACCATCACACACATTTTTTTAAATGACAAATTACACTGGTATTCCTTATACTTTGCTACTTGTGTCATTTTAGTCCTTACAACTTTAATTAGCTCAATTTTAACCCTTCATTTTAAATTTTGCATCAATTTAGTTTAATTGATAACGTCGTTAGGGTTTTTGACAAAAAAACAAATCATTTAATTGGTTGAAGTTAAGTTACTGAATTGATTAAGTTTCTAGTTTTACTTCTAAAAGTATAATACATGCTGCTCATATGCACATTTATAATATAAAAAAATGCTACTAATTGTAAATAATTGGACCAATTTAAGACAAAATAAAAAAAAAAAATTGAAATAAAAATTGATCCAATTAAAATTATAAGGATCAAAATAATATAATAGCCAAAGTATATGAACTAATAGTGTAATTTATCCTTTTTTCAACTGTCTAAATGGGTAAGAAAGCATCTGTCATATAGGAATTGTAACAATTGGTAACAAGAGTATGTGCCCAGCTAATTGATGTTGATGGTGATCTGCCATGGAGGTTTTGACCTCATTAATGCTTGTGTATTTTATGGTTCTCGACACTTTATCCTCAAATGGAAGGATAAAACAATCCACAACTTCCAAATATGTGAGATTATTTGGTATAATTTCTGTTGATAATTTATTATAAAATTAAAAAAAATTAATTTTTAAACGTCAAGTGAAGAGTGCTTTCAATTTTTACTTTTGCATGATCAATTTTTAACTTACTATTGCACCAAATAACACCTTTGATTAATTTACAATGTGTCCTTTTAACTCTCAAAAAATCTAAACCAAGGGATCTTAACCACTAAATTTTGTAACAGAGTCATTTCAATTTTGTGTGATACTTTTCACCAAATTATCCATTAGATTGCTTGCAGTCCAAGATTTGGACTCGATCGGTCCGGTCCGAACTTTTGGGCCCATCATTCATTTTGATTATCATTTATTTTTTAGGCCCATATGTGTAGAATATCTATGAAAAAACTGAATTAATCCAATAATGAAAATTATATGATTGGAAAAATTACATTATCCTCGCCTAAGGTTTTAAAAAAATATAATAAGACCTATGTTTTTAACATAATTGCATCGACCTTTATTTTAGCAAAGCTAAAGCGATCTTAGCGTACATGCACTATAACAAAACTGACTTTTTATGACACCATATCAACGACATATAATAAATGCACGCCGTAATTTCTCACTTTTACAACTTTCTTTTTTTGCACGTCGTAAATACTTTTCCAACAACGGCGTATGTATTGTGTAGGCCGTGAATGGTAATAATGATGACTTTTTTACAGTTTGCAATGCACGCCGTAAATAATAAAAATTTCTACGACGTGCATATAGTATGCCGTTAATACATCAATTAAACATGATGCACATACATCGTTAATCTAAGTCGTTAATAATAAGGTAAAAAAAATAAGCCCAAAAATATAAATTCCCCCCCCCCCAAAAAAAAAAAAAAAAGGGTAAAATGACTGCATATTTTTTCGTAAAAAAATAAAAAAATACACTTATTTATTTAAGTAACCCCGCCAAAAAAAACAGAATAACTCTTTGGCTTCTAATTGATTCGAATTTAGCTTTGGCTTCTAATTGGTTCTAATTTAGAAAGGTACAGGGGGAGGGTTGGTTTCAATCCCTGTAAGACCGAATCGATCTCTCTTGTGTTTATGAAATCAGAGTTATCCATCTCTTCTGGTTTCAATCTCTGTAAGACCGAATCGATCTCTCTTGTCTATCTGAAATCAGAGTTATCCATCTCTTCTTCACGGTGTTCTTCCTGTAAGGAGTCCTTGAAAGCAACGATTGAGAGTGTATTTCACTGACTGGTAAGTTGGTCATCTTCATCTTGAACTTTGGTTTTGGTTTTTTCCCCCCCTCATATTTGTGTAAATTCATAGATTGCTTCTTCCTCTCCCTACCTTATTTCACAAAGAAACAGAGTAAGTAGTGTTTTCTTCGTATTCTTTGCGAAGCTCTGAATCGCGAGACCACAAAATCGAACGAAGACAGGTCTTCATTGGCCGTCGAATCTGCTGGGCAAAACCCTAGATCTGAGTTGATCTGTTTTCGATCGGCCTCAGCATTCTGAATATTGGATCCATTGGATCGGAGACCATGCCAGTGGCTGCTTCCGCCATATACTACTTGAATCTCCACGGCGATGTCCTCATCAATCGTCTCTACTGCGACGACGTTGGGTTAGCTCCTCTCTCTCTCTCTATACATACATATATATATATGTATATTTATTCAGTTATAGATTTATATGCTTGAAATGTATGAATTACATATGAAGAATAACTTGCATTGAGTATATATTTGACTTCCTTGATGTGGATTGACATACATATTTATTAATAGAGATCCTTAACATCGTTATTATTTAAGAAAAAAGTGTGGGTTTATAATGGGTAGCAGCTTCTGTTCTATCATCTATGTATGTTTAGCTGTGACTATTTCGGGAAGAAGGGTATGTGGTTTCTTAAACCCTAGATTGTTGTGTTGTTGCTCCAAAGAAACTTAATTAGAGACTTTTACTATTTGTGGAAGGCACGCTTTTAGTTGGTTTACAATTGTCAGGTTATTACTTTAAAGAAACTTATTCCCCCTCCCCCCTCCGGTGCCCGTAGAAGGTGTGCTTCCATTTTGTTTTCAAGCATCAAGTTATTCTTTATGTTCATAAAACATTAGATTAAAATTGTATCTTGTGTTTCATTGTGTCCATAAATGTCAATGGTCATTTTCCTTATGATATTCTGAACTTAATTTCATTAATTCTATTGTCTTGATACTATAATAGCTGTTTGTTATATGACAAAGAATTTCACTTTATGGCTTAATTTTGTGTAATTTTTATTTTGATTTTTTGTTTATTGACTCCAATAATTTATCCAGGGGTAACATGGTGGATGCCTTTGGTTGAGCTGCTCATATTGTGATATTTTACATCACTATGTGGTGGTTGGTGAGAAGTCAAACACATCAAGTGATGTTTGGCATTTTGGTTTTTATGTCTACGTTCAATTTTTGGCCTTCTTATTGCTTGCTAAGAGTGTGTCTCTTTTTATTGAATACAAAATTTTAACAGGTTCCACATTGCTGTGCTTTCAACTAATAATATCTCCTTTAACAGTGCCATTTGTATGACCCCAAGATGTTCTTCCCATTGAAGATTAGGTTGTTTGTAGAAGGGGACAAATCTGTAATTAATTCATTGCCTGAAGTTGGATTACATAGTTTACTACTTGGTCCCAATGTTCTAATTTCTTTTAATTGTTTCCACGTTGGTTCTTAGTAAATTTAATGGAAGATGTTTATGGTTTCACAACTGCATACATTGGTCCCACCATTTTAACTTGGTGCACTTCCCTACAGGGTTATGTTAGATGGGTTCAGCCTTTCATTATACACATACTGGAGAAAATTTGCTACCCTTTTTGGATTGTTCTTTTCTGTTCTTCCTTTTTTTTTTTTTTTTTCTTTCTTTTCTTTTTTGCATAGTAACTCAAGGAATTTTGCTTCTTAAGTACTTCAATTATTTCAAGGACCAAATGTATTTTCCTTAGTTATGGTTGGTTAGTTTGTTTCACACTTTTGACTTGCCCTTCTTTAACTGAAGCAGATTTATTGTTATTTACGGATCAAGTTGGGAAAATACTTTAGATTTTTTTTTTCTTTAGCAGACGGTATAAAGAGAAAAAGGAAGAAGTGGCAGAGACGGAGGTTGATCCTTAATTATATTCTCCATCTTTGGCAAAAAGCAAGACCTCTCCACCACTCTCCTCTCTCTCACCTAAGGCTGCTTGAGGACCTAGGCTGTCAACTAATTCCTTGCCATCTCAAATTTTCAGAAAGTAGCTTTTTTGTACTTTTTTGCAGCATGATGACAATCACATTCACAGATTTCTCTGTGTCTCTATGTAGGTTTTTTGTTTTCATATTTACACTCTAAATTGTTTGGGCATAAAATGCTTTTTGCATTTTCTAGCATTTGGTACAATAGAAAACAAAATGTTTTTTTATTCTTTTTGCTTTTTCCTTCCACGATTTCAAATAACTACCTTAAAATAGTTATTTCAAATCCATCATTATAGAATTGTTCAATTCAATTTTAAAATTTAGAGATGAATTATCAAACCTAAATTCGAGTTATCTTCCATAAATGATTAATGCCAAATCCATGCATTTCAAATCCTTAAATACAAACGGAACCTAATAGTCTGAACTTTGTTATTTCTTTCAGGGGCGATGTTGTGCAAGTCAACAGTTGGGTAGCTACGTCTGGAAAGAATGGTATGCGGCGTGATTGGATTGTCCATGACTGCAAAACAGGGGACATTCTAACAAGAGCTTCCAGGTCGGAGCTTACTTAAACAAATCTCATGACTTTTATATGGATGTCATAAGTTATGCGAGATTCGCGTATAGCCACAATATCCTTTCATGAACACTATATCAGCATGTTTATTGCCTTGGAAAAGGGTGCATATATTATTCTGTTATATTTGAACAAATAAAATTACAAGATATTGTTGAATATATGTAAACTAGTTTAAAGTGAACAATATCTGACCTTCACATCCCTCCTGATAATATCCATAAGACTGGTTTGGATTAGGTAGATATCCCCCAGAGCATGGTAAGCCATGGATTTTTAGTGTCAAGAATAATATATTCTGAAACTTAGATTAAATTACTTATTGACTGACCAGACTTTTTATTATGGTGACTTTGGTTGGTTGCAGTGTCTGAGTGATGATGAATAAAGAGACATGGAGGTTATCTAAGATACCAGATGAAGTTAGAGTGGAAATAGGTCCTTATTTTGTGGATTCACCTCTTGTTCTGGACGAGGACAGCAGAAAATTACCAAAGCTTAATGAAAACACCATAGATTATATTCGTATTGGTTTAACTGTAAGTTAAAGAATTTGATGGTCACGATTATTTGCCTCTGTTATGCAGCATATGACTGCTTTGTGCTGCTCGAACTTTGGTTTGTTGATATGATTTGTGCATTTTGAATTGATCCACCTAAACGGTGTGATTTAGATGTCAACCTGCATGTTAATAATGTGAAATACGTTGGCTGGATTGTTGAGGTAAATCTCTTTTCTTTCTTTTGATGCTTTATCTATTTGATTTCTCTGGTTATTAACTTTATTACCTGTCCCATGAAATATGGTTTGTGATGCCTATTGGATGCTCTGTTCAAACCTAATATCATGCTCTCTGGCCAGCCTCTTCTTGGTCAGCCAGTAATGGTTAAACCATCTGAAGCTGAAAAAAATCTGGTTAAATTAAAAAGGATCATATCATTGGATTGTTAGCTCAATTGATGGTGCGATAGGGCTATTTAAGTGTTGAATAAACTTTTAAATGTGATGAGACCATAAAGAAAGGATTGGTTTTCCCTCAGCTGATGATTTTTCTTTAGTTTTTCATGTATGAATGTCTAAGTTGATTGGTTTACTTTTTGGGTTGAAAATTTAGCCCTAAATCTGGATGCTTTTAACATAATGCATCTGACCTTACTAAATGATAAAAGTGTTCTTTTTTTTATTATATATATATATATATCTTTTCTGAATCCCAGATTAGGAACGAAAAACGGACCTTAGAAATTGGTTTGGTTGGAGATAGAGTAGGAAAATGCCTGTCACTCGTGCGTAAGTTCCAAGTTCCATATTTTCCCCCTCTGTGCATAATGATGAATTCAAACATAATTTCATGATGGGGTAACTGTTTATGCTATGGAGATTCACAAGTACATAAAAGAAAATTATCTTATTTTGAAGTAAAATATGGCTTGATTCCATTAGTTCTAAAATTTCATGTTTTATGTGCACTAGCAGAGCATATTTTGAAAGGCTCTTGGAAATTTGATGTTGTTAGTTAGAATATATATTCCAATAATGTGGTCATACATTACAACACAAGTTCATCATATAACTTTGGCAACATCACTCTCCTCAAAACAATTTTTGTATCCCAGGGACTGAGTGTTAAAGTCCTTGTTGTTTTTTAGGTAGAATTAAATTTTCAAAATTGACATTGAAAATATTTGAGAAAAACTCTGTTCTTACATAATGTTGATACACAAATGAAGACCAAAATAATACAGTAGTGTATTTTTCGAAAATTTTAAACCACGATGATGGAATTTTTGTTTTGAAGTGATACGATCAAAAGATCTATCATATCATTGTGTAATAATTTTCTATATGAAAATTTTACTGAGTAATGCTAGAATGATCAGTTTTGTATATAAATTTACTTGACATTTGATGAAAAAAAAGTACTGTTATACAAATAAAACTACATAGAAAATCAATACACATGTAATCAGGTGGCAACTACTCAGCTTATCATTACAACAAAAGACTGTTGAATTTTTAAGATTTCCAGAGAAACATTATTGAGGTTGTAAATTCTGTATAAAATTTATGTCAAAACATCAAGATTTAGCTTGAAGTGTTTCTTTTTGTTGACAGGGGCACACACCATAGGGATTTCTCACTGTACAAGCTTCACCATAGGGATTTCTTCTAGCTATTGCCGCTTTTTTAGGTGCCTTAATACATACATTGGGTAGCCTTGTCCCTATGATAGGAGTAAGTGGATTTGCTACAGCTGCAATTGTAACTGCAACTGCTATAGGAACTGTTGTCGGTAGTTTTAGATAATCTCTTAATAGTTGTCGATATGTTTAGAAAGTTAGATATGCATAGTTTTGGATGATTTAAACTTTTTGTACAGTTTAGAACTTAAGAATATAGTTTTCGAATGCTTGGAATGTATAGACAATTGTTGAATGTTCATAATTTATGGATATAGTTTCTTTTTGATGTTTCAAACAATATTTTGTTGGTTGATTGATGTTTTGTGATGCTTGTTTGTAATATTTGTTAGATTGTACACAATTGGTCAAATAGAACTTACTGAATTTTTTTTTTTAAAAATTGCATATTCTACGGCAGACATAATAAGTCGTATTACATATTTTACAGTGCACAATCAGCGTCGTTATTTGTCTCACCAATTAACGGCGTGCAAAAATAGCCGTAGAAAAAGTAACAATGACGCATAAAATCTGTCGTTAAATAGTTTTTAACGGTATGCTATAGCATGTCGTAGAAAAAGTAACAACGACGCACAAAATTTGCCGTTAAATAGTTTTTAACGGTGTACGAAACATGTTGTTGAAAGTGAATGACTTTCCATGACTGGTCATAATATGACGGGCGTTGCACGCCGTAGAAGAGTTTTTACGGTGTGCATTGCGCGCCGTAAAAACCTTTTTTTGTTGTAGTGATGGCAATATCATTTTTTATTCATATGATTAATAATTTTTGATAAAAAATGCAGTAGTGTCATGTGAATATGAACCTTAAGAGAGTCTAATGTAACATTTCTTTCTATGTTTGGTTCATTAGAATGAAAGTGAATAGAATGAAATGTTCATTCCTCACTTCATTTACAATATATTTTTTAACATTTCTTTAGTGAACTAAATATGATGATGAACATTTTTATAGAATAACTATTCTGGTCCACTTTAATTTTAATGGACTAAACCTACCTCATGTTACTAGACCTTTTAGATCCTGAACACAAATTAGTCTTCATATCTTCTTGTTTAAATCTTGCTTCTGTGCTTATGTTTGTGCAGGCTGTTGTGTGGTATAGTTTGGGGGTGAAAAATGCTTCAAAAGTTATTAGACTTCACCTGTCTATCTATCTGTCTTTTCTACCTACCAACAGAAAGGAATGCAACCTAGAATTTAGGAAAATATGCAAAAAGGTATAAAAGTAAAAGTTTTTAGAGTGGTTTTAAACTAACTTGCTGAGTGTTCAAAGGTGTAGAAATGGATGATAGCAGGAGAGGTGACCCCTTGGATCTCTCAACACAAAGTATTCTCATTAAAATATACAGAAATTAACAAATTCCTTTCCATTAATTGAAGAACAGCAGTTTACCAATTCATGGATGTTTTGTGATAATTTACCAATTTATGGGTGAAAACTGCTCAAAGGTGAAAGTTTTTCAAGAATTGTATGTACATGTTTCTATCACTACTCATTAGTTAACATGTTCAAAACATCAATGTGTCCATCATTTGACAAATTTAAGTCCAATTAAACAATCATTTCACAAAATTGAAACACGAAGAAATTTATTGAAACTCAAATTTCAGAATTCTTGATGTCTAATGACACTAGGGTAATGCCCTTTTCTTTTTCTTTTTTTAAGAGAGCATCATTACAAAAATAAATAAAAAAATAAAAAATCCCAGCTAGGTGACTCATGCTACTAAGCCAATCATATGCTTAAGCCAAAGGCCAACAACCCCTAAAACACCTACTAAGACGGATGCAGAACAATGACCAAGATTGTAGTAGCCGAGTTGCAACTCTCTCTTTAATTAACTCCAGATGCAGAACAATGACCAAGATTGTAGCAGCAACTAGACAACTTTTCATAATGTTAGGATCCACTCCAAAAAAAGAAAAAAAAAGACAGCATGACACCAACTAGGATAACAAAGCTGAAAAACAAAAACAATGAGGACTCAACTGCCTACACTAGCCAAACTGAGGCAGAACAATGACCAAGAATGCAATCCAGCCATATGAACTCATCCATCTTCCAAGTTGAATCAGTCCCTTTCATCATCCAAAGCTGAATCACCATTTACACCACTAAGAACAAAGAGGAAGAGAGCAGAGCCATGTCAAAAGACTACTTGAAAATCCACAGTTGCCTAACCTAGCAAAGCACAAAAGTCCCTCACCTTTTAAAGGGAAGTGTAGGTCTTTGACTTCTTTCATCTTTAAGATTAAATCAGCAACTGTATAGCAAGGGATAATTCAATGTGCTTTTAGCCGAGTTGCAACTTTCTCTTTAATTAACTCCAAGACATTTTCCCAAGAAGTTTCACCATTATTAAAGACAAGGTTATTATTTCTGGTTTTCCAGATAGTCCAAAAAATTGCCATGGATGGGTTTAGCCTCCCATAAGAGCTTTTTGACATTCTTGAATTTGAATCCAAACCACAAATCAAGGCATTAACCGATAAGGAACAACCCATTTCATTACCCACCAAGACAAACAATCACCCCAAATTTCCTAGATCTCCTACAAAGTAACAAGAGATGATCAAATTGACTTTAACTCATTCCGACAAATATATCAGAGCCCAGAACATGATTCATCTAGAGCATTTATTTTAACCAAAAAACAGCAATTCTAAAGGGGGCAATGCTTTGCCACATAAACTCTATTGTAGGAATAATACAACCTCCAGATGAGGCAAACAGGTTACGTAAAGAATTTACTGAGAAGTTACCTGATGGATCACGCTTCCAAATTAATCTATCCATTGATTGGCATTAAGCTGATCAATCTGTGGCAGCATTTTCAATAACCTATGATGGCATTCCTCCTCCTCGTAACATACAAACAAAGTCTTCCTACGTGACGTACACATGTTATGAAATCATTAATGAGACCATCTTTGTTACATCAGACACCCATTTATCAAACAAAAAGAGAAATCTCATTCCATTTCCCCAATTTCAGTAGCACATTAATGGGGGCATGTTCAGAAGAAAAAGAAGAAAAAAAAAATGCATTATCCTTTTAAGCAATGAAATTATGAAATATCCCATCTCTTGTTGTACCAATTATACTTTTCAAAAATCACTCTTTTCCAAAGGGGATTTGGCTCAGATGCAAACCTCCACCACCACTTAATCAAGAGAGCTTCATTCTTAAGTTTTAGATTAGAACTACCCAAAACCATAAATCTATGTAATGAATCGTTCATCATATGAGATTATGCTCACTATAATTATAGTCACAGGGTTAATATTCAATGTTTATTGGTTTGATTTGTTTTGACAAAAAGGTTCGCATTAAACTTATGGTAAGCAGGGCTGAGGAGGTTGTTGAAAGATTGTAAAGTATTCTCTACTTTCCTTTGCCATTTCAGGCACAAGACTACTAATTTATGCAATAACTTTGTTCATATGATTGAGTTTAGAAGGTGAAATCTTCTCACCCATCTCTTTTAGAAAAAAAATTCTCCAGGTGGACATCACCTCAGCAGAACCTGGACATCACCTCAGCAGAACCTGTAAGTCTTAGATACTTCAATCTTTAGTTTGCTCCTTCACTCACTCTCTCTCTCTCTCGGAAAAACTCAGTTGAATAACCTAAAAAGGACATCTATTAATCATTGCTGCAAAATGTGAAAAGCAGCTGAGTGTAACTGAAGCCAACCAAAATGAATCAAATTTCAACACTCTGATTATTTGATGAACAAAACTTCATTTTTTTGGGAAGTCAATATAAACCAAAGATCAAAAGTAAATACATAGTACAAGGAGCATACAAGGGCAATACAAACAAGGATGGGAATTGTCTAAAGCAAGCAAAAGATGAGGACAATACCATTTAGCCAATCTAGGCCTTGTTTACATCTGACATGAACATATGCACAACAGATACAACATAAAGATCATGGGAAGATAGCAATAGCTGCACAGGAAGTCTAGAAAGCCAAAGAAGCAACAACAGTAGCGTCAGCATAAACCAGTTAATTTACCACTGAGCTTTTATATATGACACGTACAAAAGCAGTAGTAGAAAATATAGTATGATAAAAGAACTAACCCAGTTTACCAAAAAAGCAAAAAAAGAAAAAGAAAAAGCAACACGACCAGAAGCAAGGAAACAACAACAACAATACAAAATCATCAAGCCACTGCATTCTTTAGGTCTTCAACAAGATGCAACATTTCTTTAAATCAGATGCAACATTTACTTCACCGGACGCAGCAGAAAATGATTGAAAGAGTTGATACCATCCTTCGGTAGCTCTTTTGGTTTCCCAAGAATAGCGGTAGCTGGGGCAAAGCAGATAAATGAATGTATTGAACCTGGAAATGAAAACAATAACAAATAAACATTTGACAAGCATCTACTGAAACTTACACCTTGAACAACTTTTACTAAAACCTTAAAACACCACAGGGAAAATAATAATAATAAAAATTGCTGAAAATTGAAAAGTAATTGGGTTAGTGACTACCACAAAATGGAGATCAAACAACATATGTAGATGAAGCAAAAAGACACCAATTATTCATGGTGAAAATACATAAATTCTAGGTAAGTAATCGATGCTCCAACCCAAAAATTAAGAAAGAAAAAGAAAGATATGGTTGATTATTGTGATTGGGCATGTGATCCTGATTATGTCTAGGGTGTTAAAGTGAGAAAACAAATTACCATTCTGCAATATGATTTTTATTTTTTATCAAAAAACAAAAGAATTTATGAATAATAATGTGAATTATTACAATCAATAAATAAACAAGGGGAAAAGATAATAAAGAACAGAAAAAAAAATAGGCAGCATACAAAACCACCTTAAATTCCGAACTAAAAATAAATAGACCCAAAACCCCTCTATGAAGAAGAATGCAGTGGTTGGTTGGCAAGAGACCAACAGTGAGAACACTTGAAATGGAATTCCCTTGTTTTTCAATAATATATATATATATATATAAGAAATTAATTTGGCCTCTTCATCTTCAACTTTCATCAAGTCAGAGCATCTCCAATCCTTTACCAATTTTTTCATCTACTTTGATTCCAAATTTGAATAAAACCGGCTCTTTTGATTTAATATGAAATACGCCAATCCTTACATCAAAATCTTTTAAAAAATTCCTTTCTTATCCCAATTTTTTTCTTTTTATCAAATTTGATGGGGAAAAAAAAAATCATCTCAAATACTTCTTTTTTTCAATTTGAACCTTTCAAATTCAATGCTTGTGATTTTTTACATTTAGAAGGGAAAACTGTAATGATAAAAAATAAAAATAAAAATAAAAATAAAATAAAAAAAACATAGCCCAACCTCCCCTTCTATGTATAAGTTTTGGTAATTTAAGTCTATTTAAGCTTTGTATTTTGATAATTTTTTTAAAAATTAAAATATTATTCTATGGAATTGAACAGAATAAATCATATTTATATATATGATAGAATTATGTGGTATGATATGTATTATTTTTTGATTTATTATACATCTAATGATATAGACCCCAATTCTATTACTATATTATTTTGAGTGAATTTATAAGACTTTAACATTTCTTCCGAATTTGTAAAAAAAAAAAAAAAAAATTACGTGTGTAACTTTTCTCAACACATAAATATAAAACAAATATTAAGATAATTCTCTCATCTAAACAAAACTACTAAGATAATTCAATGAACTAATAAAGAAGCAAAAGAAAATATATGTACATACAAATGACTAATTTTATTAATACATAAATCATACTTGCATAACAAATAACCAATAACTAATTTTATTAATAAGTATATCATCAAGTAAATTAATAATTTTTAATGATATGAAAAATATTTTAGTTAGCCATTTTGTTAATAAATAAATTATTAAAACAATTAATAGTTTTTAATGATATGAGAAAAAAAAAATTATAAACAATTTTGATAATTTATTATTGCATTGAAGAATATTTTTTTTCTTGAATATTGTGTTAAATTAAAATTTATAATAAACGATAGTTATAATTTCTAAAATTATATGACTGATTCATATTTTAAACAAACTTTATGGGTGTAATTATAATTTGTTTTTTTTTGGTGAATGTATTTATAATTTGTTAAGAAATAAAAAATTTATGTTACATAATTGACCAATAATATTTGCATAATTACACTCAAATTGTTTCACCAACCAAATTAAAGGACAAAATAACAATTTGAAAATAAACTAAGGGAAAAATAAGAAAAAAAATAGCAAGCCACAAGCAGCAAACCGCCTCTTATATATATATATATATATATATATATATATATTATAAGTAATACACAACAGGTTCTGTTGTGATGAGATGCGACACTGTTAGCATTGATAAAAATAATAAAATAATAATTTTGATATATTTAGTTTGGGTGATTTTTGAGGAATGAGTACCTGGTAGTTTTGATTGCTCATATTGGCCTTTCCCCTTCCTCTTCAAAGATGTATCTGCCTTCTATGAGGACTCTAGGAATGGGAGCTATGAGGGGCCAATATTGGCCTTTTTCCTTTTCACACCGCCGTTTCATTATTGGACATCCGGAGATATGAAGTTCCAAAAGCGATGGTGGCAGCCCTCCTTGCTCGGGAAAAGATGCGAGCCTAGGGCAATTACTGAAATAAAGATGGGTGAGGTTTTGAATGGTCTCCATGGAAGAAGATATCTTCTCCAGATTTGGGAAATTCCAAATCCACAGATGCGTCAAAGAGTTGGGCAGCAACATCCCATCTACTGGAAAGCTGGACACCGAATAATATTCTTCTTCTTCTTCTTCTTCTGATACGCTACTTGGGCCTCCAAGAACAATAGTTCTAAGAGAGGAGAATCTGTGCAAACCCCACTCTGATAGGGGCTTACCAATCTTCATATCCCCGATTGAAAGAGAAGTGAGGTTGGTGAGGAAATTCCCTTTCTCTAGAATGTAGGAGGAGACGATTCCTCCTCCTGCAGGCCAATTATCTATCCACAGAAGTTTAAGGGAAGCAAGGAGGCTGTTGTTGCATAAACTGACCGATTCTAGTTTTTTGCAATTGTTGATAATCAATAATGACAGTTTTGTTGGGGGGTGGTGGACCCATTCTTCCCGAAGGGACTCCAGATTATCACACCCATTTATCACCAACTCCTCCAGATTAGAATCGTGCGCTGTCCACCCAGGTAAGGACCGCAGAGCCTTACATGACCAAATCCGAAGTTCTCTTAGGCTAGGCGGAAAGCCTGTCTCTGAAAAAGATACCAGACTTGAGGAAGATTACTCGGCAACATTCCCACAAGTTTGGGACATTTTTTGATGGAGAGCTTACTAACACGAGAGAAGGTTTGAACTCTCTTGTCAATTCCAAAAATGTACCAATCCTCCCATTCTGACATATTCTCAAAACATAATGTCTTGAGTAATGGAAAAGGTTTGACGCAATGCTGCCCATAGAACTCACAACCCACATGCTTTACAGCACTCATTCCTTCAATGTGAAGGTCTTTCAAAGAGGGTAGTTGTCCAAGTGGCGGTAAGGAAGTGCAATTTTTACAATTTTGTAACTTCATGCACACCATATTGGAGAACAAAGGATCTCCTGTCCAAATTGGAAATCTCATGCCATGGTAGCCTCTGATGTATAGCTCTTTCAGCTTCTTGTGAGGTTTTAATATGTCAAGCACTTCTGTTTCAACCATTTCATTTCGTAAACCATCCATGCTCTCACCACTCCACACCATTGTTAGCACGTCTATACCTTGCTTGTCATTTAAACACACCTCTCTTGCATGCGAAGAATAAACCACATTTTCTATACCCGATATGCAAAGTGTCCCTCCAAGATGAATCAAGGTCCCCAACTCACTTATCCGAAACCCATTGTCTTTCATAACAATAAAATTGGATAGTGTTTGGAGACTTGTCAACTTACCAATTCCTCGTGGCATTTCTTCTAAGGAATTTGAATAAATCATATCGAGATGACGTAAGTTGATTAGGTTTCCCATGTCCGCAGGCAATTTCCTCAGTTCTGGACAACCTCGTAGCATCAAAGTTTGTAGATTGTATAGGGTACCTAATGATTCAGGTACTATTCTAATTCTGGTGTAGGAAAAGTTAAGATATCGCAAATGTTTCAAATCTCCAATTGATTTTGGAATAAGTTCGCCAATGTGATATCTATTTAAACTCGACACCCTTAAGCGTTTTATCTTTGGCAACAAATTAAGGGAAACATTGCTCATCAAATAACAAGATTCATCTTTATCTAAGGACAAGGGTAAGAAGGTCCTTACATTCTCGGCTTCGTAAAAAGTTTCAAACTTTTTGATTACATCAAATGCGCTTTGCATGTAAGATGAATGTCGAGCACTCTTCAATTTTCTACATTGCTCCTGATCCTTCAATTTATCCTCCAATCTAAAACAAGTATAACCTGCAACTGACTGAGCCAAATCATTGATGAGGTCATGCATCACAAATTTCGAGCTTTCACCACCACTTGATGGTTGGAAAAAAGACCTGGACTACAATTCATGAAAATATTCAACTCCTAAATCTTCCATTCGCTTCTTTCCATTTTGTTCCTGAAGAAGGCCTTCTGCCATCCACAAGAAGACTAACTCCTCCTCCTCAAATTCATAGTCCTTTGGCAGTATAGAACAATATGCAAAGCACCGCTTCAAATGCGAAGGGAGATGATGGTAGCTTAATCTCAAAGCTGGGGGGATTTCATTGCCTTGTTCTATTAAATCCCATATTTTACTATTCAATACAATTTCCCACTCATTGTCTCTTTCTTTGCACCGTAAAAGGCCACCGAGTGTCCTAGCAACCAAAGGCAAACCTTTACATTTTCCCACAATTTTCCTACCAATAGACACCAAATTTGGATTTGCATCCATGCTTCTATTCCTAAAGGCATGTTGTTCAAACACTGAACAACAATCATCATCCGATAGACGTTGTAGTAAATGGTTTGGAATGGTTCCCATAATCGATGCAACATCTTTGTCACGAGTTGTTACAATTATCTTAGTTCCTAGGACTCCATCATTAAAGGGGCCCTTCAAAACGTTCCAATCATTGTATTTCTTGTCCCATACACCATCTAAAATGATTAAAATCTTCTTTCCAATCAAATTCTGCTTTAACTGAACTTGAACTTGATTCAATTCTTTAAATTCACAAGCCTTGGAAGTAATAGATTCAAGAATTACTTTTGATATTCTCATAGTATCAAATTCATCAGGAACACAGACCCATGCTTTCAAATCAAAATGCTTGTTCACCACTTCATCGTTGTATACCATCTGTGCAAGGGTGGTCTTGCCAAGCCCACCCATACCAACAATGGGAATTACACCTACTTTGCTATCATTTGACTCATCCCTTAAGAGAAAATCAATTATGTATTTTTTCTCCTTGTCCCTGCCATATATACAATGTTCATGTATGAAAGATGATATGGATGGTGGTCCGTGCCAAGCTTTAGTAGATTCTCCTGCAACAATGTTTTGTAAACCAAGTCGACTTCCTCTTTCAAAAATACTCTGCAATCTGGCAGTGATTTCCTCTATCTTGGAAGTGGAACTCTTCATAAAATTGGACAAAACAATTGTTGGAGTGAATCCTTTACAACATGTAGGTATCATGGCTCGTAGCTTGCTCTTGCTTGTCCTAGTTGCTTGGGACTTTGCTGTTAACTTACGCTGCAAAGCTTCAATGGCAAACTTGTCCAGTATGTCATCCAGATCATAAGCTAGGTCTGTGAGATCCTCCAGCCACATTTTCACGGTTTTATTTTCTATTTGTTTCTCCTCCGCATCATCCAAGAATGCCTGAATTTCAGTTAATTCTCCACTCCATCTCTTGAAGAGAGTATAAACTTGCTCCCGAAGAGCAAAGTTCAGTAGGTCAATTGAGGCCAACTTCTCAAACAACACCTTAATAAAAGTAGCGAGAATGATTTCGCCTATAGGCATTGTTTCCCTATGGAAACAAGCAAGAAACAATATTATATCAGATTTAGAAAAAGATACAAACAAACCAAGAAAAGCATGAGAGTAAAAGTCTGATTGGTTTTAGAATGAATTCACAATTGAAGGTAACAAAATGGAGAGTCATTATTGCAGCTACTTTTAGGTGTTTACATATTGGCATTTATTCTATCTTATCAAAACCAATGGCTCAAGTTTTTTTAGCAAATATTCCACAGGCCCAAGAAAAAAATTATTGGAAAAAAAAAATGTCCTACATAATCTGCAAACAAAGTTTCATATAAAATATCATATAAGAATGTGTAATTATTTAGTAGTTCCTTATGGTACTGTTCACGTCGTGCTCTCAACCATTATGAGTGAGACCATACTAACACACCTTTATTAGCTACTTGATAAATAAAGAATGACCCGCCTAATGTATTTTGTGATTTCACATTTGTTAGGAGCACCATATAGACATTATCACATGGTACTTTGAGACTATCTAATGAATATATATATTAATAAAGATGATGTATCAATAGTATTCTTAAAAAATACAAATCATTTTAATAAAATTTTATTTTTTAAAATAATAGGGAATGTAGCTCTTCGGACTCCTTGGTATAATAGAATTATTTTTGACTCTTTGATTAACATAATTGAGAACCTTCTTGATCGATATTTGACCCTTGGTTGAGGCGTTACCATAATGGTTGGGTAAGATTTGACCAAAAACTCCAAATTTGAATAATTATTTCCAAGTAGTCTTCACACTTTTGTTGTTTTTTTCCTTCCATACCTTGAATCTTGATGTGATGCTAGAACCATTGAAAAGCTTATTTTCGGGGTTTTGATTTAGAAAATGGAGTATGGACGAGAAAGTTATGCCCATTCGAAATTTGTGTACCTAAGTTATGGGCATAGTTTGCTCGAGTGCAAGTTTGACCGTTCGAGTGATCCGTAGACCCTTCTATCTCTATTTTTTAAAATTGTTTGAGATACTAAAAGCATCAATTCACCACTCAAGCGCACTTTTGACCGCTCGAGCGATCTATTTGAGAAAGTAGAGATACTGAGAGCTTTCATTTACCGCTTGAGTGCAATTTTGATCGCTTGAGCGGTGTTCAAATTCAGCGCGTTTTAGCTATTATTTTAGTCAGATTTGTGGGTCTAAACCCACTTCTATACTTGTACTATATATAGACCCATCTCTCCTTTTCTCTCATAACTCTTTGACCTCTCTCTCTCTCTTTAAAATCTCTTTATTCTCTGTTTTCTCTAATTCTCCCAAAACTCACAAATCCTCTAATCTATCAAAATACATAGAGTATTTGATACTAGTTCTTTGGACCAAATCGGCAAGCACCATGAGGGCTATATCTTGACAGGCTGAATCAAAGATCTAGCGCTGTGGATATTTAGGAGTTTTCTTCTCTCTCTTTTCCAAAAACTTAAGGTAGGGATTTCTTTATTTCTTTTCAGTACCTTTCTATAGATAGATGTGTGCTATCTTTTATTGCATAAAATCATGATTTTTAAAAGAGATTTTTGAAAGGCATGTTTTGAAAAGTGTTGGAGTTTTGAGCTAATGAAATTAACTCATGTCATAGTGTTGATTATAAAAGATTTAAGTTAATGAAACATATTGGTTATGATTAAAGTGAAAAGCCCTAAATTTTAATTGATGTTATGAGATATTAGAAGAGTTGGTGTTTTTATTGATTTTATAATTATTGAGGTCATATTAATTATTGTGAAGTTAAATTGTGATATGGGAAAAGAAAGAAGTAAACGGTTGCTGTTCATTTAGTTTATGTGTTAATTATTGATGATCTGGAAATGTGGAAACATCATGAGAAGCACATTGTGTCCTTATGAATAATTATATCTTTCATTAGGTAGAGGTTTTATCATTGGCTATCGGTGAAGGGTAGTATTGATTATTGTAGAATGGGTTATATGTATTATATGATGTTGATTTTAAGTTCATAACTTAGAATGATGTGGTAACATGATGAGTTGATAGATGAAAGTGTTATATAGAGGGTCCGTTTCCTTCTGGCTAGCACTTGGTAAAGCTTGGCACTTTGACATAGATACCGATTTCCTTCCGGTTCGCGCCCGATAAATCGTGTGATATTGAATGATACGAAGGATCCGTTTCCTTTTGGCTTGTGACAAGTAAAACGTGGCGCATTGACAGCTTACATATACTAAATGACCTCATTACCCTTGCTTTGGAGTAGGAAAAGACTATAATACCATTTGTACCCTAAATCCCTAATTCACCACCTATTCTGATTTCGATCGAATTTGTGAGAGGAAGAAGAGAGAGAGAGAGAGTGAGAGAGAGAGATGAAATCTTTGAAGAAGATCGATCGGTATGAACAAACGGCGAAAAATCTTGAGATTTTGGTTCGATCATCGTTGCCAGTGCAAAATGTAAAAGAGATTAATCAGTGAGAAGTTGTTTTTAGGGCTTTCAGGAAAGATTTCAAACCTTTTATACTTTGTCGCCGTTTGTTTTCTGGAGTAGCAGTCCACTCCAGACTATTAGTGATGAACAGTGAGCCTAGCTCATGTTTGCTTTGGTTTTGGAACTTTGGATTTGTAGTCCCTTTCGGAGTTATACACCTTGATGAACGGATGAGTAGTCTAGGTTGGGAGATGTTGGGTGATCGGTCGCCCATGGGGACATTCGGCCGAACATCCGACTGGTCAACCGGCCAAGTGTAATTTTTTTTTATTATTAAAATGTTGGGCATTTTTTTTGTCTTCTTTTTGTTATGATTTTTTATTTTATGAAATTATGATTGTATTGTATGAACTTTTATTTATGTTTATTATGAAATTGGGGATTTGGTTTTGTTAATTTATTGTAAAAAATAGTTTTCTTCTTAATTTTCTTAGAAATAATTATTTGAAGAATTTTTTTTTTATTCTTTTTGTTATGCAATAATGATTGTATGAACTATTATTCTGATTTTTTTTTATGTTTTATGTTTATGAATTTGGTTACATTTATATGAGTAATTGTTGAATGGAGTTTTTTTTTTTTTTTTTTTTTTTTTTTTTTGGAGGAGGAGGGGGGATTATTTCATGACTTTTGTTTGGTATGTTCTAAATAAGTGTATTTTTTGATTTTTTATGAAATATGGATTGGGTATGGGTTGGGTTTGAAGTGACGTGGTAGAAAGGTGATGTAACTTAAATAAGATAATGTGACTTAAATAGGATAGTGATTTTTTGATTTTTTGATTTTTTTTAAGTTATAACAAATAAGGCCTTCATATAGTATGAATAAAATAGTAAAATTGACCAAGTATAACATATTGAAATGGGAAATTGAAAAGATGACTCTTGAAAAAGTTTGAAAAAATGATTAAATGTTGGAAAGTAATAGATTTGTCTTGTCCATACATTTTTTTTATTAGAAAAAATTAGTAGATAATTGTTAAATTAGCACTTTAGGATGAGTTGCCTTACGTTATTGATTTTGGGCCCTGGACCCCGATAACCTACCTAATGGTTGATTTTGGCTATGAGCTCGTAGTAGACCAATAGAAATTATTTGGGCTTCTTTGATTTTTTTTTTTTCAAATTGTCTGCCGATTAAAGAATCCAGGCTACGCAAGGACTGTGGGCTTCTTTGTGTTTTTTTTTATTTTTGGGTTGGTTTTTCGTATTTAATGAACTTTTTTTTTAAATTAAAAAAAAATTAGGTTTTTATATTTTACTCGATGAGACGGACTAAAAAATTTTAAAATTTAGAAAAAAAAAAGTCCAAACAAGATAAAAGTAAGGTCGAGTTTGGCATGTCCAGGAAAAGCCAAAAAGCTAAAAAGTTACTCAAAAAGTTAAAAAGTTAACACTATTCACCAAAAGTTAACAATTACAGCTGCACAATTCTCAATTCTAATTTTCTCCTACAAACTAATTTTTACAATTTTTTATTACACATTTTTTCATAAAAAGTCAAAAAGTTAACCCAAACATCTATATTTTCTTCTTTAATTTTTTAGTCTAAAAAGACAAAAAGTACACTTATTTAGGACACCCCAAACAACCCTTAAATCAAAAATATTTTTTTGCTTATTGTCTTTTTCAATTTTTTTTTAAATATTACTTTTTAAATTTGTCTACACAAGACAGAAGTAAGAAAATATTGACTTAATTTAAAAAATTAAAAAAAAAAATCGCTCAAGACGAAAACAAATAGAAAAATATGTTGCTTATTTGGGAGTTCCCAAATGGCCGCATTCATCAAGACCAGATTGTGAATGTAGACCATATTTGTACATATATATATATATATTACTTTTATTAGATTTGAGTTTGTTATGATTTTGATCTATGATGCACGGATATTCAAAAAAGGAGATGTATATATCGTATTTGTATTGGATATCGTGTATACTTATTTAAAGTATCATATATTTTTTAATTAATTTTAGAGTATCAGATATATAATTTTGAAGTATCAAATACTCCAATTCATACTTTACTTCTTTTACGAAATTTGAATTGTAACATTTCTTACATAACACTATAATATAATATAATTCCAATGATAAATACAAGAATATTTTTTTGATACTTGGTTTAATTTTTTGAAAGAATATGGTGAGTTAAAGTAATAAAATTTTTCAAATTGATATATCCATATTGTTTCATTCATGTCACCATAATTATGTAGAAAGTAAGGACTAACAATAGAATAATTATAGTACGTGCTAAAGGGAAAAACAGGCATAAGTTGTGGATTGTTATATAAACATACTAGCACAATACCTATGCTATGTATGGTTTTTCATAATATATAAGTCCATTTTTTAAAGATTTGGTAATGTTTAAGTGATATAATTGGTTGATGTTTAAAGAAAATATGAAAAAGAGTATTACCTTTAATATTCTAATTGATTGCTATATAATTAGGCTTGAAAATTAAGTCTAATTTTTTTTTTTTTTTTTTTTGATTTTTTTTTTTGCGTGAATAACAATGC